ATTGCATAAATTGGTAATTAAATATAAATTTAGGTTTTACAAATAAAAATGCTACAAAAACAGTTTTCCCCATTCCAATAAAAAATTATAATTTAGAAAATATTTTTCGAAAACTTGTAGATATTTAGACGACATGGCCTTATTGTCAAGGGAATTGCAAGGCTAGGTGGCTCTATAAAAATATTATTGACACTTTTATGATAGGAGTCTTTGCCCAGCAAAGTGATGTTATAAAGTTGTGTTTTTAACATTACTTTTGGAAAGTCATATTTGGTGACATTTAGGTCTCTATGAAATGACCAAATGATTATAATTGTTCAACTTTTATGATCTTATTTTTCATAATAAATTGTCATCGAAGTCATTTTTTGAAGACAATTAGTTCAGCATTAATTATTTTCTAAAAGATTTTAATTTTCTTACATGAAATAACAATATTTCACAACTACTGCATTATCAAAACACATTAACTATATTAGGTACATTATTTTTATGTTTACATTATTTTTATGTTTCAGATTTATCATATGATATATTTATGCGATATAGAAGAATGCAATAATGTTAATTTTGCAATAAACTCTTTAATTCAAAAGTATTTGAATTTAGATTTATTTTTTTTAATAAATAAAAAATGCCTAGTGTTAAATTGGGGCTAAGTGTAAAACTATATTTTATAAATAAATGTCAAATAATTCAAACAAAATATTTAACTACAAAAATATATATATATATATTTACAACATTAATGTTAATACTGTACATAATCCAACAAAAAGTGAACAATTCTTGCTCTAGAGCAGTATTATAGCAGTAAGGATGAATTCTATGGCAGTAAGAATAAATTAAACTCTTACATCAAAAATAAGTAAAGAACTCTTTACACGTTTAAGGCTATTCCATGCATGTTCAAATTTAGAATAAACTCTCCCCATTGTTCAGCAATCTGACTTTACTTTAGTTTCCTCAGCTGATTACCTATAGTTATTTGTATAAAAGCCATTAAAATATTTGGAAACTCTTGTTTTAAGCAAACTTTTCTAAATGAGTACAAGTTTTTATTTATAAAAAACTCCCTCCTATCTAGCCAATTTTGCCATCATCCAAGTTTGCTGAACAGTTTATAGTAAGTTTTCCAAACAGTATGGACAGTTTATTCTAGATTTAAACCTACACAGTGCAAATTTAAAAATACTCAATATGTAGAACGGCATAGTCAATACGTAGATCAACTCTGCAAATTGTTTTAATGGAAGAGTTTAATTGGACATAATTATTATTTTAGCATATTTAAATTAATGATGTAAATTGAATATGTTTAAATATGTTTTGCTCCGATTGTAACCCCTGGCATTTTTTCTTTAACTTTAAAAATACAATTTTATAAAATAAATACCCTTGAATAGAAGAGTATTTTGTCCCATTTAAAACTCTTAGTAATTTATTCAGATTATAAAATTCTTCTATTGTTATAATACAAATACTGTGACATAAAAAAAGACATAAATTATCTGAATGACTTGTGTCATCTGAGTGACACATATCACAACATAAAACTTAATAAAAACAAAATAATAGGACAAAATAATTATAATTAATCATAACAACTGGTTTTTTAATGTTAGCAGTAAACAAAACTAATTTTACCTTAATTTTGAAGACTTCTTGTTTCTGCCTAACTGATGACTTATGATTAATAAATAAAATTTCAAACCATGAAACTTTACTAAATTAAAATCATGTTTCAATAGTAGGCTAACTAATAAAATAATAACGAAGTCATAGCTAAAAAAAAAAAAAAGAACATTAGAATTGAAAAATTCAAACAGCTATTCCATTTTCACTAATATTGTTAACATACTGCTAACAAGTATATTATTATATACATTTAATTGGTTGTATATAGTCAATTTCTAAACCTTACGTTTTCGGTCTTTTGGTCTTATCAACATGTCATGGTTGATCGCTTAAAAATGTAAAGACTTGCTAGTACAGATTTAAAATTTTTGTAAAATAAAGGAAACCATAATCATGTATTAGGAACACTTTTCACTGACATATCGGTCTTTAAAATGTCATCAGTGATCTTTGAGCTGCATCACAGTCAGTGAGTAGACAAATTTATTGTTGCTTTCATTAAAGCAAAATTATCAAAAAAATGTTTTTTGAAAAAACGTCTGCTCACTCTAAACTGACATCTTGTCACTTCTAAACTGTCGAACCATTACAAATAAAATATAAAACCATTTTCTAATAAACAAATTGTTGCTTTTATAAAACAAAAATAATGTAATATCATTTGTTATTTTTATTTTTGTTTACTCTAAACTGTTATTTTGTCATTTCTGAACTGACATTTAACTAAACTGTCATGTAACCAAAAAATAAAATATAAAAAAAATTTTCTAACAAACAAGTTGATCATTCTAAACTGTCATGTTGTCACTTCTAAACTGTCATTTAAGCAAACTGTCATTTAACCAAGAAGCAAAATTTAAAACTATGTTCAAATTAACAAATAACAAAACAAATTTCTCTAAAATAACTTCAAAACAAACAAAATATAAATGAAAAATTTATAATGAATTGAATGATAAAGCAAATTTAAAGTATAGAATATCAAATAAAAAGTTAAAAAGTATTTTATCTCAGTAGAATCAAATCATAGACGATTGGGTAGTTATTTTTAAAGCGAAATTAATTAAGCTTTATATCAAAAAACAAACAAATGAACATTCAAAGGAAACTATTTTATATATAGATAAGTAAATTTAATCCAAAAAAATATATATATATATTTATATAAATATATATACATATACATATACATATATATATATATATATATATATATATATATATATATATATATATATATATATATATATATATATATATATATATATATATATATATATATATATATATATATATATATATATATATATATATATATAATATTTCAGACCCTCAACCCATTCATTGTGTATTTTATGCCAATTGTCTTCAAAATAACAAATAACACTATTAATTTTTGTTGATTTCAGAGATTGATAAAGGTTGGCATAGTCTTCTTCTGTTTTTGCATAAGTCATTTTTTGCAAAATCTCTAAACATAAACGTCTCTCTTCAGATGTAATACCCATCTTCTCTAATGTCAATTCCCTTCTAAAGGTCCTTAGGACATGGAACAAACATAAATGCAAATTTGCTTGTGGGAACTCTATTCCTAAAATTTGTCTCTCAGTCATATCTTTATCTGACATAATATTTAATGTTTTTTCCCAATTAGGATTGACCTTCTTAAAAATGCGTATCATTAATTCAATCATTTTTTTTTTCCTCATTTGCTACCAGAAATGTTGCAAATATCTCACTATGGCCATTGCCATCCTCTCCTAACAAAATATATAATGGCATATTCAAATTGTTAAGCTTGTATGTGGAATCAATAAATAGCATTTCTGGAAATGCAGAGAAACAATACTTCATTGCCTGGTCTTGATAAAAAATACCCAGCAAATTATTCTTTTCATCTGCAATAACTTCCGTTGTTGACCCTAGAAAGATGATTAAAAAGCATGCAATTATCTTACAGGAAGAACTTTTCAAAATTATGTTTAAAAATATTTCAAAATATTTTTTGATTTACAAATTGTTTATTTGCTTCTCACTCATTCTTTCATAAACAAAATTTCAAAAACATATAAAATAGCTACACTCATTAGGGGACGTAATTGCTATAAAGCAACTAAAATTTTATTGTACTGAGTTTTTTCTTTAGAACCCAAGGGAACCGTTTATAAGGGTTACAATCTATAAAATAATTTAATAAACTGCTAAATAGTAACAAAAACATAAAAGGAAGAGCTATTTTTTTATCTTAAAAAGATGTAACTGTTTTGAGCATTTCTCACCTTCATTATTTTGCAATTTTTTAACAATACTTTCTACATTATTTTTTTCTATGGAATATGTGACATGTTTTGCTTTTATATTCGACAGGTCACGACCGTGATAACACTGTCAGTATCTGTTTATCTAAATTTTTTTATTCACCCTTATACTAAAATAAATAAGAAAAATTTTAAACAAAGTTACCTTACTACACTGATGGTTATGATTCATATTTAGAGATGCAACTTTAAGACAAGAACCATCTTTTTCAACTGTTAATATTATTTCCACTGGGCAATTCATTTTGAATGTACTTAATCATAAATTTTTTTTTTTTACAGTTACAAAAGTTTGTTGCAACAACACTTTCAACAATTTTTAACCTATCTTTCCAGTACATCATAAAAACTTAATGAACATGATATAGAAATGAAAATCGTCCTATCTTTTTACAAAACTTATAATATATTATAGTAGAAATTAAAATATTATACTATATTTTAATTTATAAATATTTAGACTATACAAAACAAGATTATACACAACAAACAGTAAAAATTATTAAAAGTCACCTTTGATTTGGTCTTCTGCCTTTTGACTTGGATACAAACTTCTTTCCTCCTGCAATACATGCAAAAACTATATAGGAATATTTCAGCTCTGGCTTTATTATCTTTCCTGGCGTGCGTTTTAATGCTGATGCTATGCTTCTGCTATCTTTTATATAAAACTGGGAATAAGTTGTCTTTTGTAACGTTTCTATCGCCTTCTTCAAATCACCAAAAGAGGAAAATGCCCTGCCAATTTCAAAAGTGTCCATTAGAATAACCTTAAATTGTGATTTATAAATAAATTGCGAAATTGTGACATAGTCAATAGAAATAAACCCTGGTCTGGAAAAGCTATTGTCGTATGTTATTGTTCGCTTTTTTTTAAGTCACGTGATCAAATCTAGTGCAAAACAAACAAAACTTTTATAATGAAAGTTACGAATTAATAAAGATTTTGATGTTTATTTTAAATTAATATATTAAAATTATTATTTTTCTTTATTATTAAAATAATATTGGTTCCTTTCTATTGTCTATGGTTTAAAAAATTTATTCAATTTAAAATGTTTCTTTATATTCTATATTTAAAAAAAGTCTAAAAGATAAATCCAAAATGCCAGGTTCAAATTGTTGTCTACCAGGATGTACAGTTTCAAGATCTATTAAGCACAAAGATATCACCTTATTCAGAATTCCTATGAGGACAGGAGACTTTTATAAAAAATGGAGACAGAGATTGTTAGCTATTATCACTCAGTATAGAGACTTTGACAAAGATTTGAAAGAAAGACTCTCAAAGGGCAATATTTATATATGTGAGAATCATTTTTTAGCAGAAGATATTGAATTGACAAGTAAGGATACTTTTATATATTTAGTTGTTTAAATTTGCTTTTACACTCTGTGTTATTTAATTTTAAAAGCTTTAATTTTGGGCAACTCTGATAAGTTTAAGTACAATAAACAAATAAATTTCATAAAGCTTAAAGTATTTGTGGCTTTATATAAATTTGTGGATAACATATTCTCTTTTTTTCTCAGTATTGTTCTTATTTTTGTGTGATAATTTATATTTACTTTATTGAAATATGTTGAATTTCAGAAACTGGAAGGAAATCATTACGCTTAGAGGCTTTACCAACTGTTAACCTACCCATAAAATCACATGAAAAAGAAAAAAAGGTACCTAGAAGACACATAAGTATTGTAAAAGATATTGTCCCACAGAAGCGAATAAATTATTCAAACTTAATTGATTTACAGAAAAAAACCCAAAAGTTAAAACTTAGTGGATGGGAGATGACATGTAATGAAAACAATATCAAATTTAAAAAGTTATTGCCTTTGTATTTGTTACCTAAGTATGAAGTTGTAGTAGATGACAGTTTAGCGTTCACCATTATTGTATTTGGGTGGCTCTTGCCAGATACTCACTTAATCTATAAATTATACTCACGATCAATGCTGAACACTACAGTTACCGAACTTTTATGCAAAATATGTACATTAAGATTTTGTTCTGGTATTATAGAAAACATCAGAAATATAAATAATGATGATTTTGTTGATCATATTGTTCCAATGGAATTTGATTTAGAAAGTGCAAGTACAGATGGTATGCGTGTATCAAATGAAAGGTTTAAAAGAGCAAAATCATGTATTATATTACATACTAGTGAGTCTGATAATATAAATTCTGTTTGTTCATTTTGTACCCACACACTAAAAAAGAACAAAATGATTAAAATAAAAAAACAACATCAGTTAGCCACACCTGCTCTTCGAAAAGCTCCACTTAGTAAAACAAATCCTGTTCGCGTTCTATTAGCATTAAAACAAGAACGTCTAAGATGTGCCCAGCTAACAAGTGATTTAGAAAAAATAAATTTTTAAATAGACTCTAAAGGTATTACTATTGATGATGGGTTTGTTGATGATTTAAATCAAATAATGAGTAGTAACTACGAAAAAGCTACTCCCTTTATGAAATTATTTTGGGACCAGCAAAAGAAAATGTGTAATAAAAATTTTGGCTCAATAAAGTATCACCCTATGATAATATGGTTTTGCCTCTCACTTGCCTCAAAGTCGGCCTCAGCTTATGATGAGTTGCGCTCATCAAATGTACTAACATTACCAAGTCGCAGAACTCTAAGAGATTATAAGAATTTCATTCGACCGAAAGCTGGATTAAATCCTCCCGTAATTGAAGAATTGAATAAAATTAGTATTAACCTAGTTGGCTACCAACGATATGTAACGTTATCTTTTGATGAAGTAAAAATACAAGAAAAACTTGTTTTTAATAAACACACAGGTGACATTATAGGTTTTGTAGATTTAGGTGAACCTGATTTATATTCTACTTTTCAAAAGGAAGATTCTTTAGCAAGCCATGTTCTAGTCTACTTCATTCGAGGTATTGCTTCTGACTTAAAGTTTGCTTTATGTCACTTTGCTACTAAAGGTCTCACCTCGTTTCAACTAATGCCAACTTTCTGGGAAGCAGTTGGAGTTTTAGAACTGACATGTAAATTATATGTTATAGCTGCAGTATCGGATGGTGCAGCACCAAACAGAAAGTTCTATCGAATGCATAGTATGTTTGATGACAAATTAGATTGTAATTTTGTTCATCGATGCATTAATATTTATGCCCCTGAACGGTACTTATGGTTTTTTGCTGATGCTCCCCATCTCATCAAAACAGCAAGGAACTGTTTATATCACTCAGGTATGTAAATTATATTTAAAGTGTATTGGTTTACAGGCCTTTCCAGTAGAAAATTATCAGGTTATGGTTATTTCTTGCTGGAAAGTAATAATAAAATAACAGATTTTTATATTAAAAAGTATGAAATGCTTACTTATTAAATGTGCGAAACAGCAGTGAAGGGATAATGAAACGCAAACCATTTTTATTACCATACACGGATGTTAATGACGAGCGTTTGACATGGCTAAAGAATACATTTTTATGCTATCTAGAAAAATGGAAAGAGTGTATTATTAATCGTCCTGGTAACTTTTCCAACAATGCAAAAGGAAGAATGTTTATCTCTTGGCAAACATACGAAGGACTTCAAATAACTGTAATGTCTGTTATCGAATTGGTAAAATTTTTATTAAAAAGTGGTATGCCGTTTGTTTTGACTGAAAAATTCAATCAAGACGTTTTGGAGGAATACTTTGGTAGACAACGGAGTTTAGGTCGAAGAAATGACAACCCTACACTATATCAATTTGGTTACCAGTCAAATACCTTGCGATTGCAAAGATCAATTGCGCTGGTTACTGGAAATACTAAAGGTGGTCATGGTCAAAAACGTGAAGTATCTTGGAGTGTTGTTGATAATGAAAAGTTACCAAAACGAAAAAAAAACCTATAAATATAATCTAAATATAAATATAGCATATAACAAAATATATCAATTATTAGTATTAAGTTTAAAGTTTAAGTCTTTATTTATTGTTTGATTTACGTTTTATACTTTTTCTTAAAGATTTTACTTCAAAACTTTGATCATTGTTTTTTGCAGTTATATTTTTAGCCAATGAAAATGTACGAACTCTAAAATAAAGTTCTATCATTTTTTCTAACAAGTTAAGCTTAATTTCCTTATCAATAGACACGAATTTCACATCATCCACGATTGCATTGTAAAAACTTATAATATTAGGATCCTTTAATAGGTGTTTTGTTAAATTCTTACTTTCAATATTTCGGAGGTTAGCAACTGCAGTTTCTTGTCTAAAATGTTTCTCAGCTAGCAAGAAAATCTGATAGCATTCTTCACATACTGCTGTTAAACCCCCTCTGTTTTGGGTATTTATTAACTTTTCTGAACTTGAAACTTCTTTAGTTGTTTGAAGTAATAATGCAATTATAGCTTGATTGTACTGGCTTTTGTAATTTTTTGTTGTTTTTGCCTTTTTAAGTAGATTTCTTATAACATACCCAGACAAATATTTTAATCCATCCACTTCACGTGGTGAAATTTCTATAACTTCAACATTCTTTGAAGGAGAGCTTTGAAAATGCTGAAATAATTTATTGCATAACTTTGTTGTAAATACTGTTGATGCAGGTTTCTTTAGATTAAAATATGTGTCTGAAAAGAGAACAATATTGCTATAAAAGTTGGAATAATACTTTTCAGCATTTCCAGATGATTTTAATTTTTTTGACATTTTTCTTATTTCATCAAAAAAGTTTTCTGTTATTTTTATTTCAAAGTCTTTTATTTCTGAAATAACTTCTTGAGGATAACATTTATTTGTTGACAAATCAGCTTTAGTTTCTGCAACAATTTTTTTTATATCTGTGACAAAATCATTATAATGCATATCTGTAAGACTCTTTATGGTATGTTTGTTTTTATTGTGTCGTGCTAAGCCTCCTTTTGTTTTATACGTTTTGGATTTGCAAATTTTGCACTTGAAGTCTCCAATATCGGTTACCTAATATATATTAAAAATAGCATTTATTATATATATATTATTTTAGTACGATTATCAACAGTAAATATTAGGATACAATAACTTTTAAAAATGTTTTTTTAATTTAACTTAATCATTTGCGTTAACCTTTACACCAAAATAAACCATTCTAATTAAAATTTAAAAATTATTATTACCTCTAATAATGCATTATCAAAATATTCTTGCAAATCTGGATTTAATTCATCATCAGCATTAATATTTATTATATAATCAAGCGTTTCGCCTGTAAAAAGTTCTTCAGAAAACGCCATTTAAAAATTTGTTTTGCACTAGATTTGATCACGTGACTACTTTTTACGCACTTTTCAAGATACGGTTTTAAAATAAGATTGAAACAATAGCTTTTCCAGACCAGGATTTCTATTGACTATGATTGTGATTTAGAAATAAATTGATTTAGGAATAAATCGAGATTTTAAGTATTTATATATGCGCGCGCATGTGTGTCGGAAGAATAGCCATTTGATTTAAAGTAGTTATTATTCCGGTGTCGGAACAATAACCACGGCCTATTTTGTATTACGGTCATTCACGGAAACATACATAAACTCAAATGTTCTCAAACTTTGTCCGGAAAAATAAAAAAAAGCGAACACAAAAAACCCGCTAAATCTACTAACAACTAATTCTATTGGTTCAAAAAATACTAGCCAAAAATTCTAGAATATTCAAAAAATACTAACCGAATGTTCTAGAGTATTCTGTTGAATTATTTTAAACAGTTGTATTATTTGAGTTATGTTATGTTTTCGTCGAGATTTCTAGCATAAATTGTTTTAACAATATACTATCAAACGAACTTTTATCTTAATACTATGTCATTCTCGAAGCCACATCTACAAAGCTATAAATGTTTTAAACTAACATTGTTTGCAATAATAAATGTTTTAAATTTATGTTTTTAAGTTCTTAGATAGAAAAGTTTTTAAGTTCTTAGAAATAAGTTAACTAACTTCAACTATTTTTACTTCAGCCATTCCTACAAACTCGTTATATTTAAGTCTTTTCTGTTTTAAATACTAATTAAAATTATAAAGCTCACTCACTAAACATCAGCGGTAATGTGAAGCTGTTCCGCATTCACCGCACTAAGTAATTTAACGTTATTAGTTAATTTCTATCTAGTTAATTGAATTTCTACAGTAACTCAATGTTAAATGATAAATTACACGGAGCGGGCGAGTTCCGTAAGCCCATCAACAGCTAGCCGTGCTAGCTCGTGCGAAATTGCACGGAAGATGATGCGCTGTAGTAATTATTAAAGCTGATCGAATTTTGCTTTGAAGCGATCGACACTGGTAGCACTGACTACTACGTTAGGTAATGCGTTCCATGGGTGAGCGACGCGGTTGTTGAAGAAATTATAGCGAACGAGCCAGTTGTTGTCCATTTCACAATGAAAACGCTTGCGATGACCGTAGCTAGGTGGGATGTTAGGTGGATCTATATGCCAGCTAATTGAGTCAATACTGTTTTCGAATTTATATTTTTGAATGAGGTCGCCGCGTAAACGTCTATTTAATAGAGAGGTGAGACCGAGTTTGATGCATCTTGTCTCGTAATCGAAGCGCTTTGTTTCGTGCGGTACTTTGGTAACCCGATGCTGAACACGTTCTATGACATTTATGTCTTTTTCAAGATGCGGGCACCAGGCAGTAACTGCAAACTCAAGATGTGGGCGTATATAAGTGGTGTAAAGTTTTTTCCATATTTTGGTATCTTTGCTTATAAACGTGTTTTTCAATGTCCCGAGGACTTTATTAGCCTTGGCAGCGGCTATTTTTGCTTGCCTCTTATATTTTAAGTCGTTGGAAATTTGAACGCCTAGATCTTTTTCGGATGTTGAAGACTCGATTACTGTTCTAGTGACGCTACCGTTAGCGTCGTACTCGTTTATTAAATGAATGTGTGGGGAAACATTGTACTTACTGAAATGCATGACTTTGCATTTCTTGATGTTGAGTTCCATTAACCAGGTTCGAGTCCAGGTAACAACGCTATCTATATCGGATTGCAGACGAGCTTTGTCTTCAGTGGTTTTGACGACACTCAGAATTTTAGTATCGTCTGCATACATTTTACATAAGTTTTCGCTATTGATGTGTTCGGGTAAGTCATTAATAAATATTATGAACAGCGTAGGAACTAGCACTGAACCTTGCGGAACGCCACTGGTAACCTTTACCCAGGTGGATGACGTATTACCTAATATGACACGCTGTGATCTATTTGAAAGGAAAGCTTTTATCCAGTTAAGAACGTTACCTTTGATTCCGTAGGATTCAAGTTTTTGAAGTAATCTTCTGTGAGGGACTTTATCGAAGGCTTTGGCGAAGTCAAGAAAAAGAACATCTACAGGAAGCTTGCGAGAAACGATGTAGGTCAGAAAGTCCATGGCCTCAAGCAGATTCGTGACGCAGGTTTTTTTATTGACGAAGCCGTGCTGGCAATCGGCAATAAGATTATGAGCTTCAAGGTGCTGCATGATCTTTTCTTTAACAATTTTTTCCATTATTTTGCATGGTACTGAGGTGATGGAGATAGGCCTATAGTTTTCTGGGTCGAGTCTATAGCCTTTTTCTGAGCCTTTTTTTGGCGTCACGTTTGCCGAGAGCCACGCTTTTGGGACTACACCTTGATCCATCAATTTCTGAAAAATGACGGCAAGCGGGGTAGCCGCCACATCAGCGCATGTTTTAAGCGCAAATGTACTGATACCGTCACTTCCAGTTGATTTATTGGCGTTGAGAGCAGATAGGTGTTTGTGAACGGATTCATAGCTGAAGATGACGGAGAAGATTAAGGCGGTTGTACGTTTAACAAAGGGAGGTAGTTGTTAATCTGATGGTTCGATTGTGAATACTGACTGGAACTGGCTGTTAAGTATATTGGCTATGGATGCGTGGTCGCTACTTATTTCCCCAGCGGGTGAGCACATAGAAGTTATCTGGTTACTGACGGCGCGTTTGTTGTTTACATAAGCGTATAGACGCTTAGGGTTCCATTTGTCGCTAGCTAATTTGTGTTCAAATGCTCTAATTGCAGTGCAGGAAGCTTTTTTGACAAGGTTTCGAGTTTGGTTATACTCTTTGACAAGAGGATTGATTCGCCATTTGCTGTTGCGGTTGAGGTACCAAAGTTTTTTCTTACGTTTAATTAGTAAAAAAAGTTCGCTGGTTAGCCAAGGCTGCCTGTGTTTGGCCGGTTTAGAGGTGACACGCGGAATAAATATGTCACATAATTTGATATTGTTGTCGCAGAAGATTTGATAACATTCGTCGGCATATCGGTCTTTAAATAAACTAACCCAATCAACTTGGGAGAGTTTCTCGTTTAGATTCGCGTAATTACCTCTCCTGTATATAAATTTTGAGATATTAAAACGGGGAGAGTTGCAGACGTTTTTGGCTAGCTGATGTTGCCATGTCATAATGCAGTGACCTTGTGAGGCGCTACCAAGAGGAGGACCGATAGTAATATGGGTTAATCGTTCGGTTGTTTCGGTAATTACAAGGTCTAGTGTATTTTTGAACAGACCGTTGGCTTGGATGAAGGTGGGATTGATAACGTGCTGGTGTAGATGTTGGTCAAAAATGGTTTCGGCAAATTTAGTGCCAAAACTTCAGCGCCGGTGGTATTGGTCCAGTCGTCGTGCCATATGACGTCGGGAAAGTTGAAGTCACCGGTGATTATTAGACCATTAAACTTTTTGTTGTCTACGGCCGATTTCGCGTAGGAGATTTTACTACTTCGTTGAAGGCCAGAACATTATTGGTAGGTGGGCGATAGATGCAGCCAATTAGGAGAGATTCTTGTGGGAGTTTAAGTTCGAGCCAGATCTGTTCTGAGAAATTGCATTGGAAACCGATGTGAAGTTGAGAGTAGTCATTTTCGTTGGCAATAATGCTGTTCTGGACATATATGGCTACTCCTCCTCCACGACTAGAGCGATCTTTTCTAAAGAGATTGTAGTTGGGAATAGCTGGTGCTGAGGATTCGTTAAACCATGTTTCAGTGATAAAAATGGTGTCATAATCATAGAGGGACGTTGCTAATTCAAGTTCGGTGAGTTTATTAGGATTTAGAGAAGTGGCGTTTGCATAGAAGCAGTTTAGTAACAATTTAGAAGCATTGCTTTGTGAAGTGGGAGAAGACAAATTTTTAATTATATGAAAACAGTCATGAGTTAAATGTTGCGACTTTTCATTGGTTGGTTTGGGCCGCCGCGAGCGCTCCTTTCCAGTTGATGAACGGGTGTTTTTCCTAGCCATTGATGTTGACTTTTTTGCTAATATCGATGCATTTGACTCTGTCGCTGTGGATGACAAAACGAAAGGGCTGATCAAGTTTACCGTTTGCTTTAAGGCCATTGTTGAGCTTAAACTTTTCGTTGTTCAACTTGTTAAAAAGATCTTGCTCTGAAGGAGTTCTGTCTGGCCGTATGAAGACACTTTTGTATGATTCATTGGTGGCAAGGTTTTTTGCAATTGCTAGAAGACCGTTGCGAGTTTCATTGGTTGCGAATTCGATGATAAGAGACGGTCGGGTTGAGTGGGGGCAGTAACAGTAGAAGAAGTAGATATGCTAGTGTTTGGTGGCGATTTGTTATTTTTGTTAGAAATAGCGGCAGGAATGCGTCCTACAACTTTGAAGGAAGCAGAGTAATGTACGTATTGTAATATATCCTTTACCGATGGATCGACGACGGAAGCATCGGTACTGGCTGCGTTGGGAATTCCGGTGATTATAGCTCTCTTAGCTTTTGACTGTTAAAGCTTGGCGTTTATGTTCACGGCATTTAAGATGGCATTGTTTGTGGCTGATCCGGGTTTGGTAAGTTGCGAAGCAAAAGATTTTAGGATTGGTTGAGAAACGGAAGGATAAACTGCCGGTGGTTGGCAGTTAGTAAGTTGAATTTGCAAGTTGGTGTTGGTTTTTTCGAGGGCTGCTACTTTTTCAAGAAGTAATTTGACTGTTGTTGCTAGAGAGCGGATCATGGCGTCACATCTTTTAGGTAAATAAGCAGCTTTGCTTTTTCCAGGACCCGGCCAATTTTCAAGCAGGTCTATTGGGTTTAAAGAAGGTGAAATGGACGATGTTTCATACAATCCGTTGGCAGACATTTTGGAATGTTGAGGATCTAATTAGATGACTGATTATTGGATTTGAGGTTTATGCTTCGAATAAGTGTTGTGGTTGGATAACAAATTTGGTTATTAAGTTGGTGGATAGTTGAAAGGATATTTTATATATAATTTTTGTATATATATAAATAATACTTATATGTATTTATATATAACAACAGTTTTTCCGTATATATAATAATTTATATTATTAATGTTTGTCACAATCACACACACACAAAT